TTGACTTTTGTTCATCTCTCTGGCTGAGTTTCCCCCCAGCTTTGCTTTTTTTTTAACCCCGAAATCAGTGGCTGATGCCTATTTCAGTCGTGGAGAAGGGACAGAAAGTTAGGCGCACTAAGAACATTTCATGCGAGCCTATGGAGTGCAGGCAGCTCGGCTGGATCTCTAATGCAACAGGAAACCTCGGGACAGACTCAGCCTAATTAACAGTTTTCCATAGCTGAAGCGATTTTTAAGAATCCCAGTGGATTAGCCCAATATGTTCAGGTGTGAGGCTACGAGGGCCTATAACTCCTTTCACTATAATCTTATAACCTCCTTACCTAATTCCTTAGATTGCAGATAGGAAGAGTCTGACCCTGGAGGTCGTAAAGAGCTGGGTTTCATTAACCCTTCCCTCCCCGGCGCCGCTCCAAGGTTAACTGCGCCGGGCTGTGTGCTCGGGGGAGCGAGGGAGGGCGGCCAGGAGAAAGGGATTTGCAAGAAGGGTCGATCCGCCGGGAGGGCAAAGCTTAAAATGATTTTTGCTCCCTTCATTCCCTCCCTTCAGCCAAAGGAAAGATGGAAATTGGGAACTTTTCTCTTTCCCATGCATCCGGCGGTGTATAAATGTACGGATGTTTGTGAGGCAATTCATCCCCTTCACACCATTTCATTATTGTTTATTATTTTTAATTTTTTTTTGTCCAAACGTGGAGGAAATGAAACATTCTAGAACCATCAGCAAAAAAGGCAAAGCAATCTCCATCTTTAGGACCAGCACCAGTCTCTTGAGCTTCTTGTCCACAGCAGAGCTGTAATCTTTAAAGAAAAAAAAAAAAGAATTCTAGAGAATCTTCTCAGACTGTATTTGCCTGGGAACACACCTGGTTTATATTTTAATAGGTAGTTACATTGTATTGATTCAGGGTACATCATTGATGTTGAAAGTTAATAACTCTCAAATTATATCTATCTGCCTACATACATAATTGCATACACAGTGTAACACTGGAGGAATTTGCATTTTGCAGCACATTCTTTGTTCTTAAATCTTTTAACACACTGAGTTGTTCCTTTGAAGAAAATGTTATTGAACCACATGTTTAAGGAAAAGATGCTTCTAAACTATATGTTTAAGCAATGAAATTGTTGAGTGAAATACAGATTTCTTTGTATCTCACACAAACCTTGCCACACGCCAATCTTAACCTACACATCGAACTGCCTTTTTTTTTTTTTTTTTCCTTTTTTTTCCCCCTCCCAGTTAGAAGGCAGAAATATGTGAACTGCTGAGAGAGGTGGGTACTTTTTGGTAAGTATGTTTAGATATGATCTTCAGATACATTTATTGTACTTTCAAATTCTTGGGATACTAATTGAGCTAGCAAACAATATCCCAGCTGAATGTCTCAGCTTCTTCCCTATTTAACAGGCTTTAATGTAGAAGTATATTGTAGCCATCCTTCTACTAAACAATGTAGCTGAGGAGTCAGCAAAAAATGAAAAAAACATGTTAAAACCAAATTATAATTGCTGCCTTATATCTGTCTCTTCTTCCTTTCTGCAGTCCTAATGAACTCTTTAAAGTTTTATTTATTTATTTTTTTATTTCTGAGTGACAGATCAAAAATAATTAGCAGAATCAGAAGCAGCCGGGAAGCTTGAAATAATGTGTCTAAATATTTCATATTGCTACTTATAATACCAGCCCTTCAGTTGCAAAAAGGAACCATTCCCTATTTATTCTGTGGTGGTTTATAAATACAGAAGGATAGATTCTTTTTTTTTCCCAGGGCCTGCCTCAACGATGCCATAAATAGAGATTGAGCTATCAGGAGGAAAAAAATAAAAAGGAGAAAGAATAAAATAAAAGCAAAACCCTGGACAGGAATAGAGACAGACAGATAAATGTATAACTGCATCTGAACAATGTTATGTAGCACGTTAGGAGTTAGTAAAAAAAAAAAAAATTAAATCTATCGCATATTTATAACCTCATAATTAAAATACATTCTTATCTCTCTTCTCTGAAAGGTTGCAGCTTTCTTGGAAGTATTTTGAGTGCATATTTTAAACTCCATGTCTCGAACTGAATTAAGATGAGCTGTTTTGCCCAAGAGTAAAACCTTTGTTTACAATTTAATATTTAACTTTCAGCTGCCTACCCATCGCCATATCATTTTTTTTAGATTTCACCTCCTCACATTTGCAGGCTTTATTTAAAATGATGTTAGTTTATATCAAATCCTAATTTCTTATCAAAAGAAATGAGTTGATATAATCCAAAACAGTCGTCCTGGTTTGACTGAGGTAAATTGGATGAGAATCTTTCACATTCAAAGGGTTAAAGCTAAACCAAAAAACTTTAAAGCAAAGAGATACCAGCAAACAGTGAAAAATGCTACATCTGCTCTCTCTTGACAAGCTTGCATTATATCACATGTAAGGAAGCCCAAATTTTTGAATCTAAGACCAGTTTTAGTTTTTAATAGGAAATAATTACATGGAACTTTATTTCCAGAGAGAATGTCCCTTCCAGCTACAGTGTTTTGCTTTGATCTAAGTATTAACTGGTAATAAAATAACCATATTTTGGATCCTAAGCATATTGATGCTTAGAGGAATGTTATGCTTTCAATCAAATTTTAACTTTAGATTATCCGAAGGTATTCATCCTTCTTTTGTCAGAAACCAATTTGCTCTCTTACTCCTACAGCTACTCACATGTGGTTTGGTACACTTTGTTATTTTATAGTGGAATTTGCACTGTTGAGGTGGAAAACTTTTAGATGGAATGAGATCATGTTCCAGTCTGGCAATTTGGGCTGTTTCTCATACAGATCCCCAGCCCAGCCCTTCTTTACACTTGTTGTGCACCACCACCATCTCTCACCTCCGAGGGCGACCACCGCATCAGGGTTTTGTTTTAAATATTCAGATTTTCTAATTTATTAATTTATTTTTTTTCTAACCTGGAGAATCAATCATTTGGACCCATCCTGAACAATTAACCTCCCCTTTATATTACAGCCCCAAGTGCAGTACTTCATAAAGACATGAAAAGGACATCCCAGTCAGCAGGACCCGAGCCCAGGCTTGTCACAGAGTATAAAGGGAGAGAGAAGGGGAGTTTTTATCTCTTTGCCCTGCCAATTCTTAATAGTTCTAAGTTTCAGTGTGACAATAAAACAGTTTTGATAACATAGCTCATGGGTTTCTCTGCCACATAAAGTTTTCTTAATAATAAAAAAGAAGAAACTTTATCCCTGCTAAATTAAAATAGGGCAGATGTTGGATATGGTTCATATTAGGCAGCCTTTCACCCCTTTGCCCCTGGCACTAAAGTTCTGACTTTTTCTTTCTACTATGTCTGTTTCTAACTGAAAGGTATTATTCCTGCCCTGGCTCTCTTCTTCTATTTATTTTTTCAGTGCCTAAAATTAAACCTATTCATTTAGTAATATACATTCTATTTCACATTGCTAAACCTGGCCAGAGAGGGGAAACGCTTTCCAAAAAAGTGATGCACCACTGACCTTAAAAGAAAACATGAAGCAGGCAAAGCTGTTCTTAAAAGGTTTATTTCTAGAGAATTTTGTAGCTCTGTTGACATTATAGGGATAATGGCTGTATTGCAATGGGCTTTCAAGGCCCAAGAGGTTTATGTTTTCTTCTGACCGTAAGTCTAATAAAATTTTAAAGGTGCACAAAGTCTCATCACTTTAGATATTTAAAACTAGTTTGAAAAATCTCTTGGGAAACATATATTATAGTGGATAGCCCCACTGAGAAAGCAGGGGATAGACAAAAAAATACCCTGAGTCCAAACCCAAATAAACCCCCCCAGTTTTTTTCATGCTAGCTCTATGAAAATTCTGGCTATTAAACTCCCAAGGATAGTACAGCTATTTTCTGCAGGGCTCTGCAGATAGAATTTATTGTCCATTTGGAATGATCAAGTTTAGGCTAATAAAAGGCCCTCTGTAAGCAGAAATGCCCAAGTTGACGTTTGGCAGAGTTTTCAATGGTGGAGTTTATACAGGACGGGGGCTCTGCACTATTTGAAATAACTCCTATCCCAGCAGCTGAAGATGATCTGACACACAAGTAAACGTTAGCAGGCAGTGACTGAGGGTTAATCAGCGCTGCTCTCTGAGCTGGGTGCTCGAAAGCAGGAAAAAGTGAAAGCTGCTTTCTCTAGCCTTTCCCTATGCTAAGGTGCTGCTAACTTTTATGATTTTTTCCCCCCTTCCTCTTTTACTATCTGTCTTTGTGCCTGAGGGCCAGTGAAAGAACACTGCAGATTCTAGATTGCTTTCAGAGTTTCCCTTTGCTGATGATGGATTACCATGTCAATTTAAACGGCATAGGATTAATTTGTTTCAATGATTTCTCTTTAGGCTGAATGCCAGTCTTTTTTTCTATCTCTCTCCTTGCTCTTCAGAAAAAAATAATAACAATAATAATAATAAATCCTTAAACCCCCCAAACACTTTTGAGATCCCATGTTAAAAAGACAATAATAGAAATAGACAAGTTAGGTGTAATGTTGCAACACAGTTGTAGGTTTGAGTGTTTTTATCTCGTTCTGAGGGGCTGCAGCATACAGTCAGTCACATTAAAATGAAATTGGATCCAACGTTTATTCAATAAATACTTGTCTTGTAGGTAATCCAGAACAGAGTGCTTTTGACACATAAGGACTTAATTTGTCTTGGATAACAAGTTATTAATATGGCACATTTAAACTTGCCACCTACAATAAGGTCATTTAGATCTATAATACGACTCACGAGAGAACTTCATAAAGCCAGAAACAAAGTTTGAAACTGCCTCTGAGGCGCGGAGCAGACGCACGGCTCACGGTTTGCTCTTTTCAGAAGAAAGTTCAGAGCAAGTAGGAGCCACCCAAACCCAAATGGTGTGCATCTGCTCCTCTTTGAAAGGCAAATTTTTATGGAGTAAGGAGGGGAGAGGGGAAAAAAAAAAAAAAAAAAAAAAAGAAGGAACCCAAACACACATTTTTGAATGAGTAAGCTTTAAAGCTGTGCTGCGTCTGCTCGCAAACTCATCGCAGCTTTGAAAGTGAAAAAACAACATTTGGTTCAGAGTGGAAATTCGCTTGCATTTGCACCCTACCTCTTCCATGTGCTTCACAATTTACTCGCTTTTAATAATAAGTGAGGAAGTTGGAACATAATCCACCCATAAATGTTACTGCTGTAATTTGACTGGGCTGTGTTTGTTCATGCATTAGTTGTATATGTGAAGTGAAGTGGGGATGGATGCCGGGGATCCCCGTGCAGCACGAACAAACAGAGCTGTTTGGGATTTCAACACCCAAACATCCTGCAGTTGTTTTCAGCTTTAGTTTCAGACCTGTCCTAACCCAGTGGTGCCTGCAAGAGGTGCATCAGGAGGGGAATATTGTGGGAATGCTGTTCAGGACGTGTTTGGTGAGTGGCAATTCGGACTCCACGCTGTGTCTCTGAGCTTTGTTATTCTGCTTTTCTGTACTGAGATCTTGGTTGCTCTTGCCCTGGCAGATTCTGTCTCTTTAAGTAACTAAATCTCATTTTTAAGCTATTCCTGGGAAAAGGATGTTACACATGAGTAGAAAAATGCAGGCAAGAAAGGCTAATTGAATGAAAAGAGAGAATTAGGTTAAAAATAGAGTACAATCTAGTATCACATTTTCACTAGTGTAACCTGAAATGAAGGTGTCTCCAAGTCCCCAGTGATGCCAGAGTGTTTAGATGTTGGGCACAGATGGAGACACCTATTGAAATGTGTCTGAAGAAGATTAATAGGACTTGTCAGTGTTGGGAAAGCACTGCTTTGCTGTAAATTTCTACTAGCACAAGATGAATTACCGATGAATGCTCAGTTATCAACCCCATCACTATCATTGGACACTAAATCAAATTGAGCAGTTATCTACAATCAGAAAATTTCTTTTAAAAGTAGGCATACACCTTTAGGCTTAAACTCTTTAATAAGACAATATCCTCGATGGTATGTGTGTGTTCACTAAAGGATATGATTAAAAGTTTCTATACAAAAAGCTTCTGTTCAGAAATGAACTCCAAGTTCAGTGTGAAATGAGGGTTGTCAAACAATAGAAGATACTCAGAAAATGCTGGTTATATAATACAGAGTTCTGATGGGTTCTGATCCAAAATGGATTTTCATGAGTGTCATAGATTTTGGACCCATCCCTATTTTTGAGAGGTTTTTTCAATCTCTGCTCTCCCCTTATTTATGGTCATGATAAACCCACCCCTTCTCTCTACCTTAAAGACTGAGTATCCAAATCATACATTAATGCAAAACAGCCATCATGACTCAGGATATATGTATAATAATATTACCACCCCCCAACATATTTAGGAAATAACAACTTAATGTAATGAACTACGTGATGAAAGAGTCAATGAATAATATTTTAGCTGAGAATATTTCTTTCTCTCCTTTATGAAAGGGGAAACTGTCACAAGCAAAACTACCATAAGCATTTACCAACCCACTCCTGAAGAATATTACCTGCATTTACCATCTGATGCTGCTGATGACAATGATATTAAATAAGCATTACATACTTTTAGTTTCTAGGATTTCTTTCCCTTTCACCCAGACACTGCATACTATATCAAAGGAGATTTATTATGGTGTGTTTTCCAAAGTCAATTTTTCCATTTTTTTGGAGACAAGGGCAGTCATTTGTGTTTAGGGAGGGAGACAGGTACAGAGCCTTTATCTGATCTGCGTCCCCAGCCACCACCACCTTCTTAATCGACGGCAGATCCCCACTCTGGAGGATCTGGCCCTATCTGGGTTACTTCTTAGCCAAGGAATGTTTCCTTCCCTTCATCTCCTCATGTCTCACCTGTGATGCATGTTGCTTTTTGAGAAGGGAATAATACACTGTTTACCACACAGCCCAGTTTCAAAGCCTTTGTGCGCTTCTCATCTCCAGCCAAAGCTTATTATTTACCACCCTAAAAATTCACCAGGGTAAGGGATAGCAGAAGTTGTTTTCTTCATTTTTACACCCCAATTTTCACACAGCAAATGCCCTGCATTAGGACCAGATCCCACTCAGATGGAAGTTATTAACTTTCAGCAGAATGGGGCTGATTTCAGCCAGCCACAGCCTGTGCCCTTCGAGTGCAGTCGCTTTGCAGCATCCCTGTGTTTATTTTTTTTCTTTGGAGGGCATGATTCTTTAAACATATTTATTTTACACAGAGCAGCAGTTGAATCCTAACTTTTTTTTTTCCCCCCACAAACACGTAAAGAGAATATTAATAGGGAATATTAACAGAGGTGAGTGCAGCATGAAGCTAGTTAGGTTGTAGTAGCTGAGAAATATGAACTAGTGAACATAATCCATAAACTCCATTTGGTTACTATAATACTCCAATCTGTATTTATTACAACCCCACTCTGATGCTTATACAACTGCAATTGCTAGATTTATACACTCTAATGATTTCACAATAGGAAAAACCTGTGTCTTTATCTTTCTTTTCCTGTCCAAAACAACCCCTTCCACATATACTTCAGGCTTCTCCGGACCTTGTCTGGGTTTAATCACAGGCTTTGGGACAAAATGTGCATTATTAAGAAGTATAAATATTTTCAGAAGCAATCAAAGGGTTGAAAGATTGATTCGGCATGTAGATTGGATTTAATTCGAAGCAGCTTTGTTCTAATGAGGACTACTGGGATACAAAGACAGCAGCCGCTTGTGGCCACCAGTTGGGAACTCCGACTCGCTGCAACAACCTGTCAAGAATTCCAAGAAACTGCCAGGTATTGAACAGAGAAGTGGTGGGGAGGACGCTAGTCTGTTGTTTGCAGCCTCCTTCTGAGACTGGCTTAAGGTTTCATAAGTCTCTGTTTTACCAAAATGACAATTCAGCTTCTTGCTGCCCACAGGGACAAATCCTGCAGTCCCTCTTGCAGGGAAAATCCCTATGGACTTTGTGGGTGGCTTTGCCCTGAGGGAAAGGTGGCAAAGCTTGGCTGAGCCTCAACTCCAACCAGTTTGGGAGCTGTGTAGCAATTTGTCTTGCTCCCAGACCTGGTTGCTTTCACAGTGATTTGTTCCATTCAGTTTTGCTATCTGTACTTCTAGGTGCGATGGAATATTTTGGTATAGGGAGGTGTTTATTCCTAGGGAGAATGACAGTTCTGTGAGGGCTTGGAATCTCCTGTCCTTGTTGGGTGACCCAGCAGAACTGCTGGACCCGTCCTCTTTCCTGCCTGCAACGTCCAAAAAAACATTCTTGGGACGATGCTGAACCAAAGGGGACCCTTGACTGCTTTCCCCTCAGACTTAGAAAACCCCAACAGTAGGATGTGAGTGTGGCCCTGGAGGGTGTCACGTCACAGGTACCTGGTTTCCTAAACACCGAGCGTACAGTCGGAATCACAGGATATACAGGATCAAACACGGACCAGTTTCTCTCTCCCCTTAGCCCCCCCTTGCCTACTTTTGTCCATAAAAGCAATAGAAAGAGAGAAAGCTTGAATTTTCTGAACTGTTTCACCCATCCACAGCTGGAATTCCAAAGCGAAATGAAAATGCCTTTAAAATCAACCCTACATGGGAGCCTGAGAGAACAAGTTTTCCTTTGTTGTAGGGTATAGTATTATTTGCTGTAGGTTTTTGATATACATTCTAAATTAGGCCTGCAAAGGAATGCTTCATCTTTAATTCATCACTCTCAGCTGAAAGAGATTAGCAATGTCTAGCACGCACCCTTCGTATGGTGCTGACCTCATCAAGTATGGCCTGAAATTAATTAGCCTCATTCATTCCAAATGGAAAAGGATAATGGAGCTGCATTTTAGAGATGACCATCACAAATTGTATGCAGCATATTTAAAATCTTTCCCCCCTCGCTCCCCTTCCCATTTAAAAAAAAACTATGTAGATTAAAATTCTTTCCAGAACTTGCAATATGTCGGAGTTATCGAGGCATTAGGAGCAGAAACCATTCCGTTTTTATTTGTGGAACTGGGAGCCACATTTTGTATGTGTGGCTGTAAAAGCAGCAAGCCTGTCTTAATGGCAGAACACCTGGAATTAATTTGATATTTCCAGGTGCTCTGGCAAACTGGGACATCAAGCACTTGATGTTTAAACATTCTTCCACTGGCTTGCCTAAATCAATATGAAAGTGGTGTCCCTTTGTCATTCATACATGCAAAGTGCTAGCACAAACTCCAGCTTGGCTTCAGAGTCCTACATCACTCATAATCTAATTAGAAATCAGAGCAGAGCTGAAGCAGCATTCTTTGTGGATTCTTGGGCAGCAAATAGGGATACTTGTCTTTTGTTTCCCTCCTCGATTGCATCGTTCACAAGCTTTCACACCACATCTCTAAAGGTGGTTAGGTGCCTCAAGATGTTGACAGGCATGAAGGACAAGATTATTTAGGTGCCTAACCCGGGTGATTTCAAATGGAATTAAGCAACTGGATCTTACTGGGCTGGGAGGGGGGATGGTGGTGGTGTGGGGATGGGGTGGGGGGGGTGGGGGGGAAGCGGCCAGTGCATATTAAAGCTCTAATTTGTTGTCCTAAACTCTAGCAATGTGGGTGATGTTTTTCCAGGGTAAAATTGCCTGCAGGGTACGTTTGCTGAAGCCTGTTAATTCCTCCTGAGGTCAGTGGGTACCGGGTGCTGGGCAGTGCAGCCTCTCCTGGCTGGGCACGGTGGTTGTGTGGGCTCCGGCCGCTTCCCAAGAGACAGGGACAGTAATGAAGAACGTGGGATTTCCCACAGGAATTTGGAAGATGCCCATGTCTAATACAATGGTGAGGATTGGGCCAAAATCCAGATGCAGCCTTGATTCCTTCATCCAAGTAACCCTGTGCTGACCCACGGCTGCTGATGGATCGCAGCGACGTGGACCTTCCTCCCTCCTCTCTGCCCTGCATCAGATCACCAGGAGGACCTGAGAGTACTGTGAGTAAGAGATACATTTTTTTTTTCTCACACAAACAATTCATTGCAAAACTTCAGATTTTGAAATGACAAGGTCAAAATGGCTCATATCTGCAATGCTGGGGCTTGGGGAACATTCCTGCAGTTCTTATACCCAGGGCTGGAAACACAGGGAAAACATTTTGTGATATGTACTATAATCACCTCATACCCAGAAAAATGGAGAATTAATTATTTCTCTTTTCACACAAACAAACATTTATCTTCCAAAGATTCCATTCATTAAGAACTGCCATTGAATCCAAGATTGAACCTATTGTTATTAATCCTAAATGAATTCAAGTTTGTCTACCATGAACAAAGCTGCTCGCCATCTGATAATCCAAATTTGCTCAGGAAAAAAGAATGAGCAAATGTTAGAAGCAGCAGGTGAAATCATACCACAGTTATTAAGCCTTCTTTCAGGGGAAGCACAGGATAGATTAAATTGTTATGTTAGGCCATGTTGTGAGTCCACGTCAATTTTGTCTGAGATCTTATCTTAGCTCAGAACGGTTTCCTCCTAAATTAAACAATGTTGAAGACATGAGAAGCATATTGACCCAAAGATTCAAAACTTTGGATTCAGCAGACTTCTGATCTTTTGTCCACAGAGTATCAAGTTGTAAAGCTGTGGAATATTAAATAATCATGATTATCTTCAACTTGCCCAAGTTCATTTGTCATGTTGGGACACTGGCACAGATTTTCCTTGCTGGTTTTTTTTCAGAACCAGGCATTGATTTTGCCTGCTAGCTGGTATCATTTGCCACTGACCTTACAGACCGTGGTCCTATCCTCATATTAAGTCTCATGCACCAACTATGGGCTGCAATTCTATCTCTGGTTCTCTTCACCTCTGTTTTGCAAACACCATTGTCCAATAAAGCAGCAAACAAAAATCTTACAATCAAAACAATTGAATTATGCTGGTACTTCGATCAGCTGTTATCAGGCACAGGCAGTTCTTGAGATTCAGAAATGCAGTGTAATTCACCTGGGATAAGAAATCAAATTTAAAAATGAGCTGAACAGACATTTTTAGGAATACGTAAATTTCTAAATAAACCAGCTTTTTAATTCCACCTTTTCTATACTAGAACAAATCAATATTGTCTGCACTTGGAGATGAGTTTCAGCTGTCATTATTAAATATCATCCTGCTTCTTGCAGCACAGCCAAACAAAGACTTTTACTCCTGACACAAGAGTTTCCTCAAGTAAGGACAACTCACTTATTACAGCCATGATTTGAGATCCATCATGTTTTAGAAAACAAATCTCTACCAAAACACACAGCACAATTCATCCCTGGAGTCGGAGCACTGAAGAGATGGAGTAATATAAGAAATAATATATTTTAAATGCTTTTAAAATACAAACATAATGATGATACATTAAATAATGTGATCTACCCAGCCGGACTTCTAATTATCTACATGCAAACCTCATGTTCATTCATCACTTCATTCTCTCCAGCTGTAATGTTGGTTTTTGGTAGACACTGACACAGAGCCATAAGTTTGAATGGGAAGGGAAACAAGGACAGTGCAAGGCTGTATATTAGCTTGGACAAGTAGGATGTCATTGCCAGCCTGAATTTGTTGATGAAACCAGGCGTTAAGCAAGCAAATCTTCAGCCACTGAAGCATGAGTTTGCTGACTTTAAGTAATGACATCCAGGATGTGACACAATGGATTTACACCAGCAAGTACCCATGGACTAATAATGGCCACTTAGCTCTGACAAAATAATGAGTCAAAATGGAGATTCACCTCTTCCCTGCAAAGAAAGATTTGGTTTTTCCTTATTATAGTCTCATTTCAAATGTTCAAGAATCTGGGTTTGATCTTCTTTGAGGATGGGGAAGGACTTTTGTCTCTGAAGAGTGGAGCTCATGGAGTCACTTGGTCAATCCCCATTTGCACCCAGCAAAGACCATGGAGGTGTTCAATGGTACAAAAAGGTACCAGCTCCCAGTCTGGGGGCTGGATGTGAGGCTGGGCCTTCCTGGGGGCTGAGGTTTGTGTACATTTGTACCAGATATTGGTGATCTAGAGTGGTTTCACCTAAATCCCTGGACATTGCAGGTCTACATGCACATGGCTCTTCAAGTGCTGAAAACACAAGTGTGACCAAGAGCCATCAGAGCTCTTTGTCCCAGCTAAACTATTTAGCTCTCCTTCTGCAATGTTTTCTTTCCATACCTCCTAATTCTCCCATCCCTTTCCCCTAATAACAACATAAATGAGTACTCTACAGGTGTAATTACTGTAATAGTTCTTTTACTGCAAATCCTGGAAGCCTGTAACCTGTAATTCACTTTTTCTGATAGTCTCCTATTCCAACACTAGACATGTTATTTTAAAATGTCTAGGACCTGAAAGCTAAATTTATAGTGATAGATAATAGTAATGGAAACCAAACATCCTCTTTAGTTCAGACTTTAGAGCTGTGCTGTATCTCTTGGCCAATTGTTGCCTTGTTCACCTAGAAATATCATACCCACCACTCCCACAGGGATTCAAATATCTGAGTTAAACAGAAGGAAGCAAAATACATCTCAATTGGTTTATTTTAAAGTATGAATCTATTAAAACTCAAGACATACTAACATGCCATGCCTTTTTTTGAATGATTCCACAGCAAATCCTGGGGCAATTATTGCTTCTCCACAGTGAATCTGCCATATTTCTGATAACATGAGCTACCCTTCTTTTCTAGGGATGAACCATCACAAGAAAGTGGTTGGAAGCCTGGGGACCAAGCACTCAGGGAGGTGGCTGATGCAGCTGGTTCCCTGGCCCTGGGCTGTGGCTCAGCTCTAGGTCATGGCACGTGACACCAGAAGCCAGAGGTGGGGACTGTTTCTGTCTTGGCTACTCCTCATCAGTGCTTTGAGCTGCACGAAGCCTTGAGAAACAAGGAAACACGAGTGCACCACCAGGGATTTGCTCCTCTCTACACCTGAAGCACAGCACAAAGTTCTACCCTTTGCTTCTGCAGGTAGGAGCTCAATCTAATTTACAGATTTAAGTTTTAGTTAGAAGCAAGGCAATAATCCTAAAATAACTCAAGCAAATGGTCACCCTCTTCTAGAACCGACATTGTTTCATCATTTTCTCTCCATTTTCTGGGAGAAGCAGCCAGCATGAGGAGGGCAAGGTGGCACATACCCCACTTGATAGCTGAGAAGAACAAACTGACAAATATTTTTAATATGCTGCAGCTTATCAACATCCCAGTGAATAAAGGGCAAATTAGATTTCCCACTGGTTATTCATAGATCTACATGGAGATGCTGATAATCTGCCACTTAGTACAGAGACTGGACAGAAATAAATCACCAGATAAAATGCAATATTCCTAGTGAAATCCTTTATGGAATGTGCTCTTGCCCCAAACTCCTCCTGGAATAGGCACAGTAGTGCTCCCTGAGACCTGGCAGCCCTTCTAAGTGAGCATATGGTCTGCTCTGCTCTCGCAGTACTGGTGCACGGTGAGTAAACATGCTGAACTGTCAGAGCAAACAGGGGGCTCCTTAATAGCACAAAATTCTGTGCCTGCTTCAAACTCCATCACTACTCCAGAAATGGATTTCCCTTCTCTGCTGGAGCGTGCACTGTTTGCAGGAGGGGCAGGAAAAAAAAGTGAGAGAGTCTCCTCGGATGGTGTCTGTGACCATCTCCCATAAAGCTGGTAATGCTGTGGAAGGGTCTTGATGCCTCAAAAGTTGCATTTTCTAGTGATGCTACATCGCCTTCCCCATTCTTTTGAGGTGTCCCCTGATGCACTGTAACTGGCTCAGTAATTGGAATAGAAAGAGGGGCCTGAAGGTAAAAATCCCCATGTTAATCAAGGCTGGCAAAGGGCAGAACATTAGCTGCAGTAATTGTTTTTCTGAGGCAGACAACAAAGCCGGGCTCGTCTGCACTAGCAAACAGATCCGGTCCTGCCTCTGTGCTCCTCACACTGGCAGAACATTGCCCTGAAATCACTGGAGCAGGGATCGGGCCAGGAATGAGCAGCTAAGTTGCAAAGCAAATTAATTCCTGCCAAAAAAGTTCAGCTATGCTCAGAAGTATGTAAAGTGTCTGATTTGAGAAGTGTCAAGTAGCATTTGTGACCAATTATCCAAGATGAAGGGGGCAGAGCTATGTTTACATGTACTAATCTTCAGCCAAAGTTTGAAAACTCTAATTCATGGACACGCATCAAATTTCCTTTCCAGGCTTGGCATTTGCCTGTACGCACGCATGCACATTGCTCGGGGATGACAGGAAAACATGATTATGACTTGCAAATAATACAAATAAAAAAAAAAAAAAGAAAAAGTGAGAAGAGCTGCCATGCAGCAGCAGCGTGGTAATTAAACCTATACTGAGATATGCAAAAAGAATCATGGACCACTGTATGAGTAAAATAGCTTTATCAGCTGTGCTGAAATATGATGTGTAGTGTGTCTGTATTGTTATTTTTTCACAACCTGTGAAACCCTGGGAAATGATCTACACAAAAGAACAAGAAGTAAAAGCTGCCTCTGCCATCTTCTGTTTAATTAACATAGGTATACCAATTTAATGCAATTAATCAAGATAGGAGGGATTAAACAGTAACTCAGCCAACAACGACAGAGTTAGCATTGCTGTGGCATGAGAAGGGCTGCAAAATGAGAGAGGTGACCAGGGACACTGAGGAAGAACAAGCTGGTTGCAGTTTTGGGAGGTTTATGCAGATGTATTGAAATTTAGGGGCAGCTGATTTTTCATGTGGCCAAGTGTTTATCTGCCCCTGCCCTTTCCTTTACCCTCTCAGACCTTCCAGGGTAATCCCCAGAGTGGCAACAACTTTTAAAGCGATTCCTCTTTCTTCTAACAGATTCCTGATGCTAAAGGTCTGACCTTAAAATGAGCAGTGCATAGGGCAAGAGTGGGTACTGCAGTGAGCTTCTGGCCTTCAACCCTTCCAAATACAGCTGTTTTGGTAACCAGAACACTATATTCACGGTGGGTGAGGGAACAGAGCCTTTCAGTGCAGGGCTTCTCAGCACATTAACTCTATCAGTGCTGGGTTATGGGCCCCTGTGCAAGTTGCCTGTGCATATTTTAGACCATAAATGCAGATTTGCAGAAGTCTGCAAACTTCATGGTTGTGCTTTAGTGCCTGATGCACCCAAAAACTGGACTGAGTCCTGTGGATTTCCACGTGGGTCTGGGAAGGACTGTAATCACATGCAGCTGAAAGTAGCTCAGACTTGGATTTCTTGTTGGCAGGAGAGGCACAGCCTGGTTTGCTACAATGCAACTGTCCTCATTAATGTTCTTCAAGCCCTGATGTACTGGGACCGCCATGGTTGGGTCAGATGATGGCTGAGTTTTCCAGGCTCATTCTCTTGTCTTCAGAATGTTAAATTGGGTGATAATGAGTAGTAACTGTGTCCTTTTTTATGGTGAAGTTGACACTTGCCTTCTAGTAAACAGACACAGAGATGACCCTCCTCATTTCGCACAGGTCACCAAACAGCCCTGGAATGGTAGGGGTTATTGGCCATTTACCAAACTCTGTTTGACTTGGGTTCATGGGTGAGAGATGAAAGGCTCTATATTGCATTACCAATCCCTGGGGCCAGCCAGTCTCCCTAAAGAAGCATTTCATTTAGCAAGGCAACTGCTGGCCCATGGGAATCCGAGACTTGGGAAAAAGAGGACACAGTTTCAATTGCAAATGTTTCCTTAGGGCAGATGTCTTAAAGCCACACAGAAACTCACTGCTTCGGTGTCAGAATAGTTGCTCCAGGACACTTAATGACCAGCAGATTTTCCCCTTTAATTAATCTCCCCTTTTTCCCAAGAAAACATCCGTTAGGTTCCTTGTGGTGTTTCTGCCTCTGCCCTGCTGTTTTGTCCATCTCCCTGGGGCAAGACCATTGCAGCAGTTGTGAATTGTTACCTTTTCCAAGAGCTTCAAAATTGAAACAGATGAAGCAAGGAGACCTGATAACACACTTAGAGGTGTTGGGCTCTTGGGAGGAGAAATGAGTGCTCCTGAAGTGTCCAAATATTTTCCTTACCCTAGAGCAAAGATGCTGACTGATTTTCTTGGTTATAGTAGAGTGGTCATTGCTATTGGGATAGTCCAAGTACTGCCTTTTTACAGATAATGGATGTAGTGATTGATGGCTACTGGAAGAAGAATATTTGATTCAAACCAAGAATTAAACCCAGAATTGTCCTGATCTTCCTATGATCTGAAATCCAGTGTTGTTCCAAATTCATTATCACTGATTAAAATCCTCTTTCAGTTTCGTTCCTTACTGTTTGTGATGTGAGTCATGAGACATTCAGGAGTTGCATTTTTTGTTTGATAGTTTTACATCTTGGTTGTAATAGTGCATCTGCCAAGTCAGCAGGTTCTTTTCTGTGTTTGTTTATTTGTTTACCACTCCATTTCCAGCAAGTTCTTGTTACCCAATTCCTGCTGACAGCAGAGGAAGAGGCACAAGTCAGCTCAGAAAATGAACAACTAGAAGGTGAGTGAAAAGAATAGTAAACACAGGCCATTCATGTAACAGGATCCAATTCATTTTTATGCCAGGGAGATTTTTTAAATGGGACTTCTCCCAGTGGAGAGATCACCATGCTCAAAGCCTGTTTCACTATAAAGACAATACATAATTATTCTGGACTTATTATTATTTTTTTATCTCTTTTTCCAGTTGCAGGGAGTGAGGGCAGAGATGAGATGAGATGTGCTGCACAGTTTATTGTGCAGCACATGGGGCTGCAGGTTCCTGTGGAGGCAGGTAGATGCACCCAGGCTGAAGGTTCAGGTGACAGGTCTGAGATGGGAGAATCCATCAACAGCAAAAATGGGAACTCAGCCTCCTGAGCTCCTCAGTCCTGGGCTCCTGCTACTTGTTGCTTTCAGCATCTTTTCCTTTTGCACTTATTTTGAATCACCTAAATGATGAATTGAAAAAATGTCATGTCATTTGAAGCACTCTTTATTGTATTTATAGGAAACAGATTATCTGTTCTCTGAGGATAGTGGAAACCCAGTATGATGAGCTCATCTGGAGAAAATGTAGGTTGGGTGTGACAGAGAAACTCGTGTTTTATACCGCGGTGACATCTTAATTTCTGGTTTTGGTATGACAGACTCAGTGATACTGAACCATCCTGGTTCCTGCTTTCAGGCTGGGGTCATGAGTTGGACTTGGAAGAAGAAACTTTCATGCAGAGATGTGACTGCAGTGTCAATATTGTGCCAGGGTAAGAGAAATTTTGTTTAATTCAGGGTGTATACAATATGTAAAATCCATACAAAGTCTGTTGTTCACCCCAGCCTAGTTAAGCTGCATTTGACCATTACTTGTTCAACCCAGTAAAGTGTACCTGGGTACCACAGCAACACCTGCTCTATTTATATATTAAGATTATTTTGCCAGGTCAGCCCTTTAGGATTTAGCACTTAATTCATAAAGGATTCTATAACACATGCCCAGTTGTGCTCTCTCTCTGCTTCCTGATGATTTGGGTGATTTTCTCTAGCCAATTTATATTTTAATTAGTTGTAACACTTTACTTTCTAATTTGAACAACTGAGACTTAAAAAATAAAAAAAAAAGCTGAAAAATAACTCTCAAAGTCTGAATGGATATTCATTATAATTTTCTGTTCAGTATTGGCAGGTCCTGGGTTATTTTAGGTGACATTTTCATGTTGACTGCTCTGTTTTAGTTCTGCTCAGACAGAAGGTAGTGACAGTGGATCATGTGTTACAGGTTTCTTTACAGTAGAAACCTAGAGTGTCCTAAAATCCAGTAACTCCTCAATACCAGCAGCTCCCACACCCCTCTGTGCTCCAGCAATTGCTTTGAACTAATTTATTTATTCATTTGGGCCTTAAGTACTCGGATGCATTCCTTCTTGCTGCAACAGCAGGGGTACAGGAAGGGGTGTTTGAAACCATGCAGTCAATTCCACCCTGGATTTCAGGAGGAGTTATTCTTGTCTCAGAGATGACGCATTCAAATATCCCTCTACGGATTCCAGGTGAGTTAGTCACATTTAGATGCTTCCAAGTAATACACAGAAAGGTGGTGAGAAAATGATGAGTCTCTGCCTAGTCACAGAAAGGAAAAAGCTCAGAAAACTAGATTTGAGCAAATTATTTGTAGTAGCCCTCAAAACATTCCAAAAAGACCTGGGGCCAAAGGGCTTTTACTTTAAAAACAGTAGGGATGCACAGTATTTACTTCACTGACTGACCCATCAGCTGCTCTCTGTCTCCAGAAACAGTTCAGGAAATAACTGGAAGTATCTGAAGACATAAAAAGGATAATTAAGTTTCATTGTGGAAATAAGAGGGTAATCTGTCCAGACAAATCTAGGACCTAGTACTGAAAGCTGTGGTATCTGAATATAAAAAATGAGTAATTTTGAAAAAAGATGTCTATCAGGACTGTAAATTCAGAGAGTAAAAAAGTAGCTTTGCTTAATAGACCATCTCTCTCTCCATCTCCCTCTAACTCATTTTCTTATTCTCTTTCTTCCTTCTGTGTTATTGCAAAAAAAAAAAGTGTGCAAAATCTGATATTGAGAATGCTTTAGCTTCATTTCCATCTTCTATTCTCGAAATGTTTTGTTCCACTGGGAAGATTTCCCCTGGGAGATAACCTCAGCCATGGCTGCAGGAGGCTTGTGGGGTGACTGATTTGCAAGGGGACAGCTGCATTTTGAGGTGGCTCGGAGGCAGCCGGGTCCCCACTCTTCTGAGGCTCTTAAAGATATTTGTGAGCTGGCATGAGAAATCACCTGGGACTCAGAGCAGACCACAAGTGCTTAGGACAGTGTTTTCTCTGCACCTTTTCTTGCTGAGCAGAACTGCAGCACTATAAACAAATGTGAGTTTTGCCTCATTCTCAGGTCCAATGAGTTATGAAAGCCCACTCCAGATGTAATGAATGTATAGATCATTTTGACCAGATCATAATCTATTAGTAAATAATGCTATCTGAAAATGTATAGGTGAAATAAAGAACTTCTTGCTACTATTGCTGTATTGGTGTCAAGGATTAATGTGGAGGCCAACATGATCCTCAGGCTTTGTGCTACTGACATTTAAATACAATGCAGAACTAACTATAGGGTTTGGTTAGTAAATTCCCTTCTGGATTAGGATATTCAGGATTTACAGGAATTTATAATAATTCAGGATTTCTGCTGGAAACCGAACGCAAAATTATACAAGGCTTACCTGTGCCTTGGCTTCAGCTCACTGACACCCTCACATTTATAGAATTTTTTCCATTAGATTCCTAATTTTGGTGGTGATATTAATTAGCAAATCACACAATACATTTCAGAATGAGCAGATAGGGCAAACCCCTATAATACCTATGACTTTTCTTTGCTATCCCTGGAGGAAGCCCAAGGGTACCAGACTAAGACCTAAGGCAAATTGTCAGCACAGTCTATAGGCCATGGGAAGGTTAGGTTTAAAGAAGATGTCACTTTAGGGACATCTGTGTGACACATGCTGCAGTGTCCAGACATTGGAGACTATGTTTTTGCTCTAAATCTAGAGAGGAAGTCAATAGGAAAAAAAAAAAAAAAAAAAAGGGAAAGAAGCACGGGGGAATAAAAGTACTTTTGAAAGAGAAGAAATCTACATTTCAATGAAAATCCTTTCAAGGCATTTCAAATAAGAGTCTGAGAGAAATAATTACAAAGTTTGGAGAGAAAGAACGTTAGCTTTGATATCTTTTTCTTCTATGAAGCAATTAAAATAAGCAATTTTTCAAATACTAAGCAGAAAATTACTAATGGCTGAACCCAAAAGCTTTCATTTCCTTCTTGGGGCCTTTATTCTTCTAAAAAAAGACAAAAAAAATGTGAAGGTGGTTTTCCAGATAGATTAATGCATAAAGCAGTCACTAGTTGGATGTCATAAAAACTACAGCAGCATAGAATAGCTGAGATTAAGAGCCAGATTTAAATCATGCAACAGTCCAGTTAATATCAATGTCTAATTAAGAAATGCATAAGAAGTCTGTAATGTTGATTTGATGGAGAAAAACTCTAATAGGGTTTCTTTTGGAATTTTCCATTTCAATTGCTGTGTAGACTTTTAATGGATGTCCTATCCAGTCTTTGGTATTAGCAGGAATCATCCTCAAATTGAAACCAAGGCCTAAAATGGAACACAGGTAGACAAATTAGCTGGTCTGGGAAGCAGCCTGGGTAGAATGACAATGTGAGCTGAAGCCGAAATTTGAGTACAAATAAAAGAGAGCAAACGTCTCAAATCTGGTGTGGAAACCCTCTCTGCATCTCGTTTGAAACACTCTAAAACCCTGTAATTTGAAACAATGCAATGTTAACCCATTTCCCCACCTCCCTGAGCCTGCAGAAATCCCTGACAATTCATACTTAGACACCTAGACCACTAAGCATTATTAATTAGTCTTTTTTATTTAAAAGCCTTTCCATAGTTATGCATATTAGTAGTGTGTAGAGGTGGGTTCTTCTCTGCCTGTGATGGGATTTAGAGCACACAGATCCCTGTCACCATCAACGAGCACCATTAATCTCCCACTCCTCTCTGGGTAACTGAATCTCTCAAACCCCTGGAGCAAAACTAAGCCTGTGGCGTCTTCTGTGTCCCATGGATCATCCAAGATGTTTGGTCTCTAGATATGAAAGGGGAACTGGTTTTGAGCACATGACTAATGCCCTGAAGTTGCTGAAAGAGGAGCAGTGTAACTCTTGGTATGCACAAATCCACTTAGCAAAGAGGGGGAAAGCACAGTGCTGGGTTAAAGCAGCAGTGCATTTGTTATCACCACTCTGTTGTTGATCCAACAGATCCAGAGGGAATGATCTCAAGGATCCAGGAGAATGGCACACTCAGAATAACCCCTCTGACCAATGCATGCTGGGGAGTAATTTTAAAGTTCATTAGAACGTATTAAAGTATAATACATTGGCCATGGTAAAGCAAGGCACATGATTCTATCTGTCTATATGTCTCCTTCCAGTACTAAATCCATCCAGAGACCTTCCAGAATTACATCATTAAGTCTTGTCATGTACACAGAGAGTGGAAAAGACTGGAGGTGAAAATCAGAGTAACAGTGAAATTTTGGCCCTTTTATTTTTTGGGTTATTACCTGAAATGTCACGGTCCAAATTCATGCCTGACATTGCTCCATTGACTCACGAGGCACAAATATGTCATATTAAAGAGTGATACCATGGCCCTGGGGGGTGCCCCTAGGATTTTCCTCCTTGAAAGAGGTGGGAACAAGGATGCTTTCAGTGAGGCATCTGCCTTCTCAATGGTACAGAAGGTCTGATGTGAGGACACTCAGGCCATCAGAGGAGTCTGGGTTGTTTTACCCTTCTCTTCATAGTAAGACTGGGAGGTGCCATGGGTTGGGATGATGCTAGAGGATTGTTCAGGTGGAGCTCTATAGGGTGCTTTGTCTGCAACCTTTATTAGATTTGTGCAATACTTAGGGAAAAAACGAGAGTATGAAGGAGGCTGTCCTTTGTAAACACATGCAAAAGAAAAAAACCCAAACCTTAACTTGTCCAACACACTTGAGAGCCACAAATTTTGTTACAGTTTTGCTAAATGAGAGGAATATTCCTCCCCTCCTCTATAAAACCATCCTTTTAGACATTACTGCAGCCATGACCTCACCGCAGTTCCTGGATTCCTTCTGAAAAGATTAAAATGAACTAATACACAAATGATCTCATCACAGCATAAAGGACACCTTACACAGGGGGGAAAAACTAATCAGGAGAACTTCAGCACTGCATTCGCAGTAGCAGTAGAAAAAGAACTGTAACAGCGCTGTGCAGAAACAAACTAAAGGTACAATGCCAGAGAAGCATTTTTCCATCTAATGAACCATTTGGATTTGTCCTACTTCATCCTGCCTGTCACACCTGTCATCCTCTTAGCTGTCTCCACATCTATCATCTTTCCTTTTTTCCTGCCTTTATCTACAATTTCCTTTGTCTCTTCTGTGCCTTTCCCACCTGTTTTAATATTCCCGGTAACTTTGAATTGTGTGCACTACTATTCTCAACTACACCCAAAATGCGTTTTGAAGAGCACATACATACAGTCACCTTGCACAAAGGTATTCACACATACTTCATCTGTAGTTTATGTCATTCTGGATTAAGAACACCTTTTCTATGTTTTCATACATTTCTCAGCCCAAGGGGTCATGGATGGTGGCAGCTCTCATCTA